TACCTATCTGCTTACCGCTTATGTTCTTGGTAATACCTGCAGGTTGCTGTTGGCGTCGTCACACAACTGCAAACAACTGATTTTATAAAACATGTGTGACTGTTTGCCTCATGTATGTGCGTAAAACATTTGTACATATCACTGCGTCATTTCGTGGCGTTTTCCTCAATAAAATATTTACTCCACAGTTACCTTCCATGCCCATGCCAGTGCTTCGCCAAACATAAACTCCCGCGGTGCATTTACGTGAGATCTGGCGACTTTCTTTCTCCTCCCATCAACTACGCTAGTGTGGCCCGTATTGCTTGTGTAAACATATGATATTGAAGACTGAACGTTGGGCGAGTTGGTTCTCCATAACTACAAAAAACTGCACGAGAAACTCCCCAAGAACACAGAAGGCACATGCACAGACTATAGCAATTAACTGACCATTTATTGACCAAAAAACAAGATTACAAGGCAAAAAATCACGTAAAATACTAGAGGTGCGCAATTAGATCATTAAAACGTTAATTACATAAATCATTACATGATTAGGTAGTTAGCACTTACATGGGTACATGGGATACCATCTTCAGGAACTGAACGACTTCCTCAGAATTTTTCACACGAAAGGGACCCTGGGCGCTCCGAGAATTCCGGTGCTTTTGCAGAAATTCCGATACCGAACATTGCCAAGATGCGTGTCCTTAAACAACCAAACTATAGGGGTGACCCTCCTAATAGGTTTTGACGGTGAAAAAGAGGCTCGGCAAATTTCCTTTCTCACCTGGCACCACCTCAGCCAACCTTTCAAGATTCAGTTGTTCCAGTAAAGCGACGGCCTTCCCCTCCCTCGGTTTCGTTTTTTAAGCCTTCTTAAGGTTCTTCTGAAATGCTTGCATCCCTTTCCCAGAACGAAAAAATACTCTCATATAAGGGAACGAAGCTCCATTCCTTGTCCGCAACCAATGGCCTGCTGCAGCATAAAATCGAGCATTCGTTTGCTAGGACCAAGCAATAGTCGCTAGGGCTAAGCAAGGATTGCTAGAAACCAAGTAACGTGCTGGCACCATTCTTCTGGGTTGGTTCAGCTGATTTTCATTCTTGTCACTCAAAGTTAGTCAATAGAAATGCTGTAGGCTCATGTGCTCAGGAGTGTTGAAGATTGGACGAGTTGGTTCGTCGTACTTGAACTGGTATAGCGCATTACGGGGAAGAAGAAACGGCCGAGCAGACCGACACAAGAGGACAGAGCGCTAACTTCCAACTGAGCTTTATTGTCAAACTGCATCAAATATGTAGACCGGCGCAAGCATACAAAACCACCCAACGCAACGACAAGGTTACACGCAATATCGCACCGTCACATATCACAGATTCATAGGCGGTTATGCTGATTAAGGCGGTTATGCTGATTGCAAAGCAGTAAATCCTCTCAAATCACGTGCCACTGGTTGCTCAACCAAGCACACAATTCGGTTTGTGCCGTGTGTAGCGGGGGTTGTTTACGCGATTCTATTCTCATGTGGTATGTGGTATTTCGGCCAAACGGGGCGCTGCCTTAATGAAAGGCTAAAAGAGCACCATTATAATGTTCACAAAGCAATCCAGGGCCACATTGTGATTCACTGTCGCGATTGTGGATGTTCCCTCATGTTTGATCACTGTGAAGTGGTTAAAAAGCACCCGTCACAATTAACTTGGGAAATAATAGAAGCGCATTGTATAGCAAGAGCTGACAGCACGTTTATTAGCGCCCCGTCTTTGGTTTCATCTGAACATGAAGTGGCCTACCTTAATCAGCATAACCACCTATGAATCTGTGATATGTGACGGTGCGATGTTGTGTGTAATCTTGTCGTTGCGTTGGGTGGATTTGTATGCTTGCGCCGGTCTACATATTTGATGCAGTTTGACAATAAAGCTCAGTTGGAAGTTAGCGCTCTGTCCTCTTGTGTCAGTCTGCTCGGCCGTTTCTTCTTCCCCGTAATGCGCTATACCAGTTCAAGTCATGTGCTCGGATTTCGGTTCACGTTAAAGAACCCCAGTGGTCAAATTTTCCGGAGCCCTCCACTACGGCGTCTCTCATAATCATATGGTGGCTTTGGGGCGTTAAGCCCCACATTTCAATCAATCAATCAATCAATCAATCAATCAATCAATCAAAATCAAATCAAAGTTAGTCGAGAATGGCGTCGCCACTTCGTGTCTGGAATCTCCTTTGCGTAGGTCGTGCCCGCATCAAGGGTCGGAGGCGTTTGATGGCCTGCTCACTAGGCTTAGGTTATCACACTTTCCAGAAGGAAAGCTGGGTTTTCTTATTGAAAGATTATTAAATAAACTACAACAGAGCGCTAGTGACACGATGGAAATCGATAAGCATTTGCCATTAACATGCATTTCTTTTCTTCATGCCTTCGCCCACGGTATGGAAACAGTGGGAAGAAGATTTCATGTTAATGTAGTATTTTCATCTAGGAATAGGTTGGGCCGAGTCTGCGCAGCAGTGGATAAAAAATTTACCGCAAAGAAAAAAAATTGGAGTCAATATGAGGTTAATTACCAGGAAACTTTAGTCTAATGCGGAGAGGTTGCGGTATATTTCATTCCCTGGTCGTGGGGTAAGTGCTATATCGGGCAAACCGGGAGGTGTTTGGATAGCCGTCTAATGGATCGGAAGACATCGCTTAAGGCCCGCCCTTTGTTGAATCTGTGCCAACATTGCAGAAATATTAACTGTCACCCTTTACTTCGCGTGTTGTCCCGGCACACAGATAGGAGAGCGAGAGAAGTCACCGATGCTTTTTACATTCACAAGTGTGGCGACACGTGTGACACAAGGAGTGTGCCAGCTTGGGCTAGTTGGTATGGCATGACGATAGTTATAGCGCGAGAACAAAACGACGACACAGAGACAAGAAGGACACGAAAGACACGAGCGCTAACTTCCAACTGAGTTTATTGCGCAGAGCATGAAAATATATAGAGGAGACAGTGACCATGGCACAAAAGCAGAACATGAGTAAGAAAACCAAAAACAAACAACACAAATACAAAGGCACTGAAAAACAGCAAAGAAAAACCTAGAAGAAACCGAACCAGAAAGGTAGAGCTACCTGCCCGCACCGAATCCTTCGAGGAACCTGCGTTCCTTCTCGGACTAAGCCACGGAGGGCTTGCTAATCCAAGGCACCTGTTCGCGTTACCTGCCCGCACCGAATCCTTCGAGGAACCTGCGCTCCTTCTCGGACAAAGCCACGGAGGGCTTGCTAACACAAGGCACCTGTTCGCGTGCCATCTGCCCAGCCTCGACAATGACCCGGGTGCTTACATCTCTGTGTTTGTACAACGTCGCTGTTTCCTCGAAGAGGGGAACACACTTGCACTCAGTGCAGTGCTGGGCAAGAAAACCATCTTTCCCATTTTTAACATTGTTCGCGTGCTCTCTCAGCCGATCGTTCAGACACCTTCCGGTCGTTCCGACATAACAAGCACCACATGAAAGGGGGGTCCTATAGACGACTTCCCGGGAGCAGGCCGCATACCTGTTTCGATGTTGAACTCTGCAATCTGTTGATGATTTCGTTTTCAGGGGGTTGGTAGATTTGGTGAGGCTGATTAATTTGAGCGGTGCTGAGAACAGGACTCGAACTCCAACACGTTTTCCGATTTTTTTGAGCCTATGTGATATCTGGTGTATGTATGGAATCACGGCTATCCTTTCACGTTCTGTATCCGTGTTGATCAGATTCTGTCGCGTCCTCTGCTCCGCCTTAATAGTCCGCAGGATCGTCTCCGCAACAGACGCGATAAACGCCTCGGGGAAGCCTGAAGGCTTAAGGCGGGAAACTTGAGCTTTAAAGCTCGCAGAGATATTGTGGGCGCAAGACCTATTTAAAGCATTCTCAAGGCATGTTCGTGCTATGCCTCGCTTAACTATCTTACTGTGAGCAGAAGAAAAGGGGAGTAGAGGTTTCTGCGCACGTGGTTCATAACACCAACAGATGTGCTGTGGGCTAAAAACCAGATTTAAATCCAAAAAGCGTAATTTGTCATTATCGGGCATTTCATGTGTCACCACAAGAGGCTGCAAACAATTTTCGAACACGCCTATAGTTTGAGTGGCCAACGAGTGAAACATAGAAGACTTACAATTTAGAATAACCAAAAAATCATCTACGTATCTAAAAATTTTGACGACATGAGAGCCTTCTAACTTTTCCTGCAGTTTTTTGCCCATTTTTGCCAATAGAAGATCACTGAGTAGAGGTGCTATGCATGAACCAATTGAAACACCCTTTTTCTGCAGATAAATGCAATCATTCCATTGAACGAAAGTAGACGTAAGATACAGCAAAACCAGGTCAAGAAAATTCCGCGAACTAATGCCAGTTTTTAATTGGAAGTTCAATTCCCCGAAAATGTCTATGTTATCCCTTATACATTCTAGTACCTCATCGTGAGGCAGCGAGTAGTATAGGTCCTTTATGTCAATTGAAAAACCGAAAAGATTAGATTGATTTGACTGTTGAAAAAATTCTATCAGAGCCTGCGAGTTTTTGATCACAAATGGGTCGTCAATCTTTAGACACTTTAGATGGGTCTGAATAAACAAGCCGAGTTGTTTTTGCCGCGTACCACTTTCTGCCACAATGACACGGAAAGGCATGTCAACCTTATGTGTTTTGGCAGAAAAAAACATGCTGAGCCCATTTTTGTCACTTTTGCTAATGTGCTGTGCTAACTGTTTTAACTCTAGTTTACGACACATTTCCCTGGCCTGCGTTTTTACCCTATCTAGACGAATGTCGGTACAACATTTGAAAACAGATTCGATAGCTGTGACCGCCTTTTCCAGGTACAAGCAATTAGGAAGAACGGCGAAACCACCATCCTTGTCTGACGGCACAACACAAAGTTCATTGTCTCTAAGAAACTTGGTCGTCTTCCGCACCGGAAGGCTGTTGCTGGTAGGCTTACCCCGTAGGAGCACGTCGACGCCTTCTGAGATGCACCTGTCTGAATCCTCAGGTGAAGCATGGCCAGCCACAACAGCCTTCCATCTTGGTCCATCTTGGTCATGAAATGCGTTATGGCTGCAAAAATAAAGCAGCATCATAGCATAAATATGCATAAAGTGTTTTGAAGAAAGAGTTTTGAGTTGCTCCTTGAACGATAAAACCAACGTGAGGCCCCACAAAACGGCTTCTGAATTCTCCGTGGATGGGGGGGGGGGGTGGGGGGATAAACAACAAGAGGGCCCCGCCACGGTGGTCTAGTGGCTAAGGTACTCGGCTGCTGACCCGCAGGTCGCGGGTTCGAATCCCGGCTGTGGCGGCTGCATTTCCGATGGAGGCGGAAATGTTGTAGGCCCGTGTACTCAGATTTGGGTGCACGTTAAAGAACCCCAGGTGGTCAAAATTTTCGGAGCCCTCCATTACGGCGTCTCTCATAATCAACTGGTGGTTTTGGGACGTTAAACCCCACATATCAATCAAACAACAAGAGGGAAGGCAGGGAGGTTAACCAGGCACATGCCCGGTTTGCTACCCTACGCTGGGGGAATAGGAAGGGGGCATAAAGATGAGAGAGAGAGGAAAGAGAAGAGAGAGAGAGAGAGAGAGAGAGAGAGAGAGAGAGAGAGAGAGAGAGAGAGAGAGAGAGAGAGAGAGAGAGAGAGAAAGGAGGATTGTCAGTCAATCGGCGGGCGCGTATGCAGCGGTGGCACTACACAAAAGTTAGAGCTGGTCACATAGGCCTGAAGTCCTCAAAAAGCACAAAACCGCTTTGACTGCTTTTTGAGCCGACGAAAGGCGATGACGGTGTTCCAGTAGAATCTGCACAGAGAGTGGCCGATCGTCCAATCGTCCAAAGCTGCAAAGCAACTTCGTCACCTGGCACGTAGTCTGAGTCTGCAGGAGTGGAACACCCCAAGCATTAGACATACGAGACTATACCAAATAAACTCTCGGCTGGAACTTCGACCTTTATCCGGACTTCGTCGACGTGAAGCTTCACTTCTTTGTCGCCTTTGGTTGGGGGTTGCCTTCACAAAAGCATATAGAACCCTCATCGGATTCACCGACAATGCGTAATGCGACGTCTGCTGCACCAAAGAAGACATCGACCATCTGATATGCCATTGCCCTCGATTCGCCTCTGAAAGACAGAAGCTTTCGGACGCATTGCGACAATTGGACGATCGGCCACTCCGTGCATGTGACGTCACGTCACCTGGGCGCTTCCACAAAGCCCAGCAAAGGAGGGGAGCACTTGCGTACAAGCCAGAGGCGCTTAGGTGTCCTCTTCCCTGTCAGGCACAAAGTGCTGTGTGAGGGTAGAAGGAATGGCTGCTACGCAGAGTCGCCCTCGTAAGCCTGTGACATCGGCACATTTCTTATATGCACACGGTCTCCTTCGCATTTTATTTTGCCCTTGATGATCGTTTTAAAAATATTAATTTGTAAAAAAAAAACTGGACGTCCAAGTACTCCGTACAGATGGTTGACCAGCGAAGGTGGAACATCCGGCCACAAGCGGTTGCAGACGCCGCAGAAGAAGCCTAAGTGCTGCTCGAGAAGCTTTCACCGAAAGCGAGTGGTGGCCCGGTCAAACGCGTTCCCGCCAGTGACACGTTGACGCTGCTCTGCCCACAACGCCACTTCCTCAGCTCGCCGTTGTAGCTTGCATTAAGCTCAGAAGGCTGCCGGATCCTCGGTGCAAAAACGCTGCTCACGCTTCGCCACCCGGTTCCGCATTTACTGAAACTGGACGCAATGTATACCGACCGTGTGTCCGTAGTGCGGCGATAGGTCGACTCTCCACCGCATCTCGTGAAGGTGTGACAGTAAGTGCAGTGACGTAGGCAGTTTGCTCGGCAAACCTTCAACGCCTAGTACGGAGGGAGCAGTGGGAGGCAGAACTCGCGAGATCTGATCCGGGAGTGTAGCACGCGCTCCTGGATCAGGTCCGGCAGGCGGCTAAGGCTGGTGGAGCCTATGCCGTAGCGACCCAACTGGAGAAATCCTAAGATCCCCGTTTTTTTTTCTTATCCCTTAAAGGGGCCCTGGAACACTTTTTCAAGTAATCCTGAAGCAGATACACTAAACGAGCTTATTGTCTCACGAATTCAACGCCACAAAAACGTTAAGAATCTGTCCAGTAAGAGCGGAGTTACAATGTCTTGTTACAAGCTGCAATCGCATTCTCCCTTCTCTAGTCCCAACGAGGAGGAAGAGGACGGTGGCCATGGAAGATGGAATCTGCTAAGGAGTGTGTAACAACTCACCTGCCGAAGCAACTAGCCCCAAAAATGGATGGCGCTTCAGCGTCGCGCCTATCCCCGGCCGTCACTGGTAGAGATTTGATTGATTTGTTGGTTTTAACGTCCCAAAACCACCATATGATTATGAGATACGCCGTAGTGGAGGGCTCCGGAAATTTCGATCACCTGGGGTTCTTTAACGTGCACCCAAATCTGAGTACACGGGCCTACAACATTTCCGCCTCCATCGGAAATGCAGCCGCCACGGCCGTGATTTGATCCCATGCCCTGCGGGTCAGCAGCCGAGCACCTTAGCCACTAGACCACTGTGGCGGGGCCGTCACTGGTAGAGAAGCACGAAATGTGGGGGTGCTAAGCCGCAACGAGTGGAAGGGCCGTGGCGGTGTGCGTTGAAGGTGTCGAGCGTGAGTTCACCTGGAGCCGACCCTGGTGCAGATGGATGGATGGATAGACAAATATATATATATATATATATATATATATATATATATATATATATATATATATATATATAGATAGATAGATAGATAGATAGATAGATAGATAGATAGAAGAATAAGAATGGGGTGGAGCACGTTTGGCAAGCACTCTCAAATCCTGACTGGTAGATTGCCACTATCCCTCAAGAGGAAAGTATATACCAGTGACATATTGCTGGTACTTAGTTATGGAGCAGAAACCTAGAGGCTTATAAAGAAGGTTCAGCTTGAATGAGTGATGGAAAGGAAAATTATATGTGTAACTTTAAGAGACAAGGAGAGAGCAGAGTGGATCAGGGAACAAACTGGGGTTAAGAATATTACAGTTGAAATCAAGAAGAAAAAATGGACACAGACCGGGCACGTAGTGCGTAGGCAGGATAACCGCTGGCCATTAAGGGTAACTAACCGGATTCCGAGAGAAGGCAAGCGGGTTAGAGGGAGACAGAAGGTTAGGTGGGCTGATGAGAGTAGGAAGTTCACGGGTATAAAGTGGCAGCAGCAAGCACGGGACTGAGTTGACTGGCAGAACATGAGAGAGGCTTTTCTCCTGCAGTGGACGTAATCATGGCTGCTGCTGCTCCTGATGATGATGATGATGATGATGATGATAGCCTAAGTAGCTCTTATAATCAGTAAAAACGAAATACATTCTCTTCTAAGGGACCATATGTTTAACATAAAAAGTTTCAGGATAAGTTGTTGCCGTCAGAACACGGCAAGTGCTCTTCGAAATCCATGGCGTCGTGCGCGGAAATACCATCTCAAAGTTTCAAGAGAACTTTTACCTATATATTTTCTTCTAATATAAACTAATTACAATGAAACTTACGACAAAGTTCTTAGACAGCAGTTCAATATTCTAAGCTAAATGTTGTTTCAATTTAGTGTCCCTTTAGGCAAGTGAGCCTAATAAACAGTTTTTTTTTTCACTGATAATTTGCAAGTCACCGGAGTCGGCGTGGATTGTAGGTTGTGCTTCGTATATACTTATTGCACGCAAAATAAATTGATGAGATCTACAGCAGTACTTCCAAAAGTTACATCTCATAGACAGAGGCATGCTGTGACAATCCAGCTGTGCGGGAAATGTTCATCAGGCTACAAACCATGCACTTGTAGGTGGCTGCAAGTTAAACGAGGTGCACTTCTGTAGAAGTTATCGTGAATAATGGTATAGATGTAGATGTCTAATAGATTGCTCAAGTAAGGACACACACATGACAGAAAGGCAAGGAGGTGAGTCAGAATTAAAACATCCGGTTTGCTACCCTGCATATGGGAGAGAAGGAACGAGAAATAGAAATCGAAAGAAGAGCCCACATAAAAGGAGATGAGAAAAAACAAATTCGCAAAATAAACACACGGGAAATGGGGGGAATGGGAGTATTGTAGTCACGCCAGCAGATATGACACACTCGTCCTGTATATAGACCCTTTCGCCGTTTACAAACAAGTTGCTGGACGGCTTCCGGTTTTGTGCATCAGCGTAGCATAAAAGAATTGGCGGGAAACGAATGCTTTGGCGAGTAGCCCGCTCAGTTTCAACACTTTCCTCGGCTTTGTCTGGCCAAACAATACAAATACGTTTTTTTCTAAGCTACACACAACATTATAGGATTTAGTCGTTAACACAAAGCGCATTTCTTTTTTTCAGAAAGCGGAAAAAGAGTTTTTCCTTACTCCTCCACATTTGAAAGAAACAAGTTTTCTTCTTGAGCGTTATAGAGTTATAATTGAAGTAACCGGAAGTTTCTTGGGAAGGAACACGTGTATTATTGCTATGTTGACACCGACGGAAAAGGTCTATACATGTGCGTTATTTTCGCATATCATTCTTCATGTGAGAGCAACGCACTAGCATAAAACTTTGACAGTATTGTTAGTTCGCGATAGTCGTGTGTGTGCCTTTCGTGTGTTCTTTGTGCTTGAATAGCGTGCTGCGCGTTTCGCGCTCCCTTATCGTTTTTCGCGTGGCATTCGAATTTGTTTCTGGTGTTCATTGCTTCGATCGCCCTTGCGGATAAACTGCGATTTTTTTTTCTGCTTTGGTGCCACGCAGTTTCTTCTCATCTGTGCGAAACAATTGATTGCGTCGGGCAGAATTTGATTGATATGTGGGATTTAACGTCCCAAAACCACCATATAGTTATGAGAGACGCCGTAGTGGAGGCCTCCGGAAATTTCGATCACCTGCGATTCTTTAACGTGCACCCAAATCTGAGCACACGGGTCGGGCAGAATTTAAAGCCCCTAATTGAAAATTGAGAATGCGATACAGGCAAATAAAGTAAAGTGCATTGACCAAGACGTGGCCGAGAACAGTAAACGTGTACATCTGACGACAAAGTTCCACGGCGGCGCCAACGAAGTTTGGAGTTGGAAACATGGGTCACTAGCTCTGTTACCGCAATGCACGCAGGACCGCGCGAGTCTGAAAATATGGGCCTATGCCCATTGTGTATAGTGCATGCGTTTGTATTCAGGAGACGACTTCGTCCCGTCTCGTTATCGCGGGGGCCTCATTCGCGAAACAAATAGCGCGCTGGTGTCCCTTCCCAAATGAACAGCTTCGTTTTCTTCTACTTTACCCACGCGCAAGATATATCGGACTAAATCGCGCACGTGGCATCACAGACTGTCCGTTCCTCAGTGCCGATTTTCGCAGTTCTATTTCGGTGTTATGTTGTAGCGAGCATAAATAAATTGTACAGAGCAAATGTATTGCACCTAAGAAAAACAACAAAAGGAAAAAGATAAAAAAGGAAATTATTTCTTATCTGTACAAAATTTAAAACCCATTCAGGTGCCATACCCTTCCTCCCCCCGTACCCATTCCCCAATTATTTTTCATTATTTTTCGGTTTTCGAATACAAGCTCGGCTGACGCGACATGACTTTGTCATGTGTGGGATCTCATGATGGCGCAGCCGCTTTCAGAACGAAAAAAGAGAATTCCTATAGGCGACTTGAAGATGCCATGTGGTCAAGTTATACCGCTTGCGAAACTTGGAATGAAAAATGCCGAAAATCTATTGCCACAGGCATCAACGCCCGCCGGTGATTCAAGCGCGGCTACGTAAGGAGGGCACAAATAACGAAAACCAAAAACCCAATATATTTTGTTAAAATAGTCGTGATTGGACATATGTCAGAGATAACAATAAATTCACGATTTATATAACAATTGGGTAAATAGTTGATTGCCTTATTTTTCGCTTTTGGCTGAGTTCCATATACAGGGGGCGTGTCCAGGCAGTCTGCTATCAGGACTTGTGTTTAGTTCGGCGCATTGCCGGATAACTGAGGCATCGCTCACTTTTGCGTGGTGCTTTCATGCGTATCTTTCGTAGTTCACTTGTGTGTTTAAGTCCTGTTCTCTGGCGGCACATTTCAAAGAGGAACCAGCTCACAGAATGCGTAGATAGCCGCTTCTGTGACTGCCTTCAACGGCGTGCCCTCGCCTTTGGAGACGGTGAATGCGACGCGCTAAGCAGCGAAACACTGTACTCTACGGTTACCAAAGCAAAATAGGCTGCTGTATCGCTGCACTGACCTTCCACGATTTAGCAACGCGAGTTTCCGAACTATTATTCTATTGTGGTCGTGAACATTTGTGTCACCATTTCATCTGCTAAGTTTTCGGTGTATTTTTCAATTTCATTCTTTGGCTAATAAATCAGCCTTGCTTCTCCAATCTTTCTTGTTAGCCTTCCTTTTTTTCTCACACACGCAATTAGCGAGCTATAAGGCTCAATAAATCTCGTATTTATCGCGGCCCATAAAAGGTTAGCAATAAAGAGAAAAATTCAATTTTGCGTCATGTAGGGAAAATATACGACGCTGCTGCTGCTGCTTCCGCTTGTGACGTCAAATACTAATGTTTTATTTTATATTTGCTGTTAGTTGCGCCTTCATCCGCAGATTCCGCCGGTGGAAACTAGTCGCCAACTATTGGATGCTTGAGTTCTATGAAAGTTACGCTACCAGTTTACATATACATTGGATGCCGTTTGAAAATGTTAACGTGTCATGAAATGATTGGCTTCATCATGTCAAGAAGGCGTGCTGCAGTGCAGTTCAATGGATTATAAAACATAATTAGGTCAAACAGGCTTAGCGAATATACGGTGTCACCCCATTCAAAAGCGGAGTAAGGACGCCGGTAAGTTACAAAACTTCGTAGCTTACCAAAAAAGCACAGTGACGTCTCTCCAGGGGCTTTCGAAGAATACGATGCCCATCTCGTCCAGGTCGCAGGCCGGCCAAGGAGACTAGATGGGCTTCGATAGGTGAAGGCAAAGGAGAGTAGTCTACCGCATTGCAAAGAACTCGATGCCATCTGATGCCAGCGAGAACAGGCACGCTCTTACTCGACCGCATGCCAGCGGCGGTTGGTTATTAGCTGAGCAGCGAACAAGTCGCACAGTTCTTCCAATATGCCGAAGTGTGGGCAAATTGTTAGCGCAACGATTCACGCGTAATCCGCCCACGGTAAAGTAGTTCCATGTGCCACACGTGCGTGGTCTACCCAGGAAGCAAGCATTGCTTCCAAGCGCACAAACATTTGCGTTGCGTTGTTGCAAAACGGTAGCCCCCATGCACAACTTGGCGTTCTGTCAAGGGGAGCTGTATGGGTGGTGCCCGTGACAAACAGTGCACGCGCATGTTGAGCCTTCGTGCGCGCGTGTTCATGAAGTGGCGTGGCTCTCTTTTAAAGACGATACCTTCGACGCAAAAAATTTGCTCTGTCTGTCTGTACATTTATGTGTTTGTCCACCCTTAACGGTACCCTAAACGGCCCCAAAGTGGCCAAACGATACTCCAAATGGCCGACCCCATCAGCAGCGCTAACCAATACTGCTCAAGATTCAGTTTTTGTACTTGTGTGATTGTCAATGAAAAATCAATTATTGCGCATACCTGAGGCACCATAACAACACGCCAATATTCTTTATGTGTGTGTCTCTTACTAGAAAAAACATACAAAAGTTATTATATGGACCGTAGCGTTTATCACGTTGCATTCACCAGGCAAAGCTTGCACGAAAAGGCAAGTGTTTCCAACGCTTTGCTTAGACGACACGGTGGTGGCACCTACCCATCGCCTTGCGTTCTACACCTCATCACCTCCTAGACGGGCGCGCAGGGGGCGCGCGCTTCGTTTTCCAAGATAACTGCCACATAGCACTCACGTCTCAAGTGTGACGTGACTTGATGCGCTCGTTCGTCTCCGCTGCGCACTCGAGGCACTCTAACGCAGAGCCTCCAGAATACCATTCGCCAATTTTCTTGCGCAGAACATTAAATAAACATTTTGTTCACTCTCTCCAGACGCAAGACTATCGTCTTTCGACGACATTTGCAGTGTAACATGCAGATGCGTGATCAATTTTGTTTTGTTACATTAGGCCCTATATATCACTTGATCAGAGTAGTTATGGTAGGTGACTGTGACTATAGCGTTGGCTACAGGCGGAGTTTTCATTTGATGAAACCGTGAGCATATCGGTGGCCCGATTGATAACAATTGGTGGACGCCTGAGCTTCTCATTCAAGAGCAGATCACGATGGTGCTATCTTAACTTGTGCGCATTGCCTTCTGAACTGTTACCCTGGTTCTGTTCTCGGTGCATGCTCCAACCGTGCCGCATAGCAAACGAAGGACTGCGCGTGTAACAGTGGTCTCACAGCGCGTTCGCAGGGCAATACGCGAACCTACGCAGCTGCTGATTTTGTTGATGCTCGTGCTTCTGATGACGATTAAACATGTCTGAGCGCTTGTGATGGGTGGGTCTTTAAAACACCCATTCGTTGCTCAATTCACATTTTTTGACACCTGGCGCAATTCTACGCTTCTGCCACGTAACATAAGGTGAGTTCATCAGAATACTTTCACTACATAACATTCATATAGGGATTTTTTTTCAAGAGAATTTCAGCAGATCTCCTGGCTCTGTGGTAGAACGCCAGCTCGGATCAAGAAATTTTAATTTTATTGTATTTGCATCTTTTTCAATTTTTCGGTCACGGAAAAGGTAATTTTTCGCTCACAACCAACGACGCCAACGGCTGAATTTCTGCGAAACGAGCTCTTTAACACTGTAGCGTTAAAATGGTAAAAACATAATTAAACAATGCCAGTGGCACGAATTTCACGCTTTTTTATCCAGAAAATTTTCTGCTATGCGTGTACTATGATGCGATTGATATAAGTTTCAGTTAACGCAGCCCACTCTTGATTATAGTAGTGTATACTCCCTATGAGCACAAGGAAATTAGTGTCTACACCAACAAACACACAAGTCATCAAAATGTAAGCATATTGCCTACCAAGCGGCCAGATCTCACGATTGACTGATGCACAAATATATGAGAACGACGTGATGTGGGGCGCCAATAATAGATTCTGAAATCACGTAGAGCTTGTTCGAGTGCATGAAATCAATTCCTCTGCAAAAAATTTACTTTCTCGAACTTGTTTTTTGTGTCATTTTGTGAACTGTCTCACGGATGCTGTCCCACACGCACACGCTAATTTAGTGGGCTTGTAGAAGTAAAATTTTCTACGTATTACCAGGTTTGAAGTCGCAAGAATCCTAAAAATATTAAAGCACGAACGGGTACTTCGCAGAAAAGGCTAATTTGGTTGAAAAGAAGGGAGCGATTCCATCGTTGCTGTACGCCACCTGACTCGCACGTAGCCTCACAGAATGAATGCAGACAACAGCGAGAACACGCCACAAGGAATTGACAAGTCTTTCTATTGCGAGCGCTGAGCTGTGTGCTTCATCATCTTCACTTGTGCACACAAATCATTGTAATCATCATCATCGTTTTCTCTCGTCGGGTATGTGGCTTCTGGCTTGCGCACTGGCGTTGTAAATATAACTCGTTTCATCGTACCTGACGTCGTCTCACTATATAGTTATAGATCGCAGTGCGCCGAACGCTACAGACGCCGAGCCATACAGTCCTCCGGTCAAAGGTCGGATTTTTAGGCAATAAAAACGCTCGTTTCAGCCGGTAAACGTGCAGGCAATATTGCCTTTGATACTATAAATCTATGCCCAATGAATTTTAAATAAATGCAAATAACTTTACATGAATACATGCATGACCCCTATTTACGACCAGAAAAAATATTAATTGAGGTGATGAAGATGCACGAACAGTTGAACGTAGCCGTGCGATTGTCCCTTGCCACGCACGCTATTCAAAACACGGTCTGTCCGCTTATCTGTAGCGTGGTAAGTTGAATGTCCATTCTCGACTCCAAACACACCTCTACTTTTCTTTTTTCTTCGTTACTGAGAAGAGTAGATGAGGAGCAGACATTGAAAGCGCTAAAACACGAAGACCAGCCTGATGAAATTCCTATAGTATGGACTGAATCGCGTAGAACTATATCTTGTCCTTAGGCGGAGAACAGCTTAAAGTGTCAACTGCGAAATAAACGAAAGCCGCGTGATCATCCCACTATTCATTCCTCTTTCGCTTTTCACCCTCTCTTGACGGCTCTCGGCGATTTCGAACTCGCCTATATTCACTCGCGCAATACCACCACGACGGCGTATATGGTCGCCGGAGCGTCCAGTTGGCTACTGCAAGCGGTTCTTTCCGGAAATTAATTGAATAGGTAGACTAGAGGACCAGGTTGAACCAACCTTAGCGTTACACTCAGTGAGTGTTACGTGGTAACAGAAATAACAAGCTTAAACTTTACGGGGAAGCAAAACATGAAGGTAAATAATGTGCGCACACTCTAAGGCAAAATTACCCGAAAAAGAAGTAACGGAGCCCAATAGGCACGCGCGATGAACGGATAGACCGTTGAGGAGCAACCACCGAGGGAAGTGGGCCGCGTGCAAACCACTTAGTCTCCAAACACGCTACAAAGGGATGAACCGCCCGTGGAATGCAGGCAGTGCGAAAAGCGTTGCCAAGGTGACTAGCCGTCCGTCTCCTCCTCCGCTGGCTCAGTCTTTCCCCATATTTTGCTGGCGACGGCTCGCGTTGCGTCGCGCTCGGTGTGCTCGACCACCGCCGCTAGATTCGACGATCTAGGAATTACGACGTGGTGCTTGTGTGTACGCTCGGATGGGCGTGGGCTGCTGCTTTTACGTTGCGCTGCACCCATGAGGTCTGGAGCAAGTCTCGACGCGTCACCACGCTGCGCTGTATATCACTGGCTTCAAGATAGTCACGACCAACACACGACAGCAACAGTGTGGAAGGACAACATAGCGGCCGAGAAGACAGCAGGCCTATCGGATATATACTTCAGTCCGACCCAGGGCCGAAATCAGCGCTGGATTCTTAAGGAAGTAGGTTATCATTCTTTATTCTACTCTACTTGTCGCGATCCGCTTGCCGGCAACGGGCTCGGTCGCGTTGTATACGCACGCACGAAATGCACCACGAAGGTCAGCTTGGGCGTCTGCAGTTCACCTGTGCTTTGCGACCACCTGGAAATTGGCCGCCATCAGTGCCGTCGGCCTCCCGTACGCTCGCTCGTCGAGTGCTCGCCTGTCTTCGCCGCCGCGATGACTTCCGGGCTGACGATATTGGGCTGAGACCTCGTCGCTGTGTTGGGAGTCGTTGAAAACACGTTGTGGGTTCTCGTAATGAGCTTGGCTGTAGTATGTCGCGCGCTGTAAGTGCACCAGCACAATCTGGCGGGACTTTCGCTAGTGTCGGAACTCACTGAATATCGGTCGCCATTACAGTTGGCTTTCCCGTCAGTCGGTCGCAAGCAGCTTGGAACCGTCCATTGGCCGCAGCGGCGGACTCGCGTTTTCACGCTGCACTCGCCTGAGTTTGTGGGAAAGGGCCGCATTACCGTCAATTTCTTCGGCGCTAGCTCCAAACCAGCTCGGCGCTGTTCGGGGCGGCGGCCAAGCGTACGCTCGCTCTCCTGTTCGAAGTTCGCTGGCGGCAGACACTCCACATGCAGCACCCTGTTTGGTCTCGCATTCGCTTACTCGAGCTGAACGACGTCACTCGCTTAGGACTCGCCGACTTGTTAGCGGCACGGTGGTTCGTGGAGTTGTGGCTGCGGCCGCCGCTCCTAAGCTGTTGCGCTACAGGGATCGAAATAAGTCTTTGACGATGTGTGACATCACGGTGAAATTATTAGCGTGTCATATCTCACGTATGTTTTCATTTCAACTTGCACGTATTTCTCATATGCATTTGTATTCATCCTCTGTCACATGTGACTCACTATTTTACATACTGATTGGGTAGCCGTGGGCACACACCGTGCTGAAGACTGTGTGCGCTGGCGTCTACGATGCCTGTCATCCATCTCTTTCGTCAGAGCAGCTTCAGAAGGACTGTGCGAGATGTGAAGGTAAAGTTATTTGTGTGTCATATTTTACACGCAT